GGCATGGGGAATTCAAAGATGTAACTCTTTACCCAGTAGTACGAAAGTATTTCAATATTTTAACAATGGAAAGGCAATACCAGAGCACATCAGCTGCTTTCCAGTCCTAAATATTAGAATTCTGCCCACCACTCCTCTCCTTTAAAAAGCTGCCACTTCCAGATTGTTGAACAGGATGTATAGGCAATGCCTGTAGGAGGACATCTCAACATTGTGGTTCTGGCTGACAGGGCCTTGCTGGGAGGCTCCTCACCTTACGGAGTTCTGAGACCATTTTCCCTTCATAAGTGACATAACCGACCTGAACGAGGACTCCAGGTAGCTGCCCTATCTGGGGAACAATCATTTCTGCAGATACGTGACTGGCTGTTGGAGAAACCCAGACACCTTATCAAGCAGATCTCTATTCTCCCAGCTCTGACACAGCCAGCCCTGTCCCTGTGCTGTGTGTAACCCAGCAACAAAGATGTACACAGGGACCAGGCTGAAGGAGGGAGTCACCACTCTGGAGTGAAAAAACCTCCAAAGATGCTCAGCCTTTAACGGAGGAGGGCTTTTAGAAAAAAAATCCAGCAAATTCTCTGCCCTTTCAACTTCACTTTCTGTTCTCTTTTTATCTGCTTTCAGCATTTCCAATTAATCTTGGAATGAGAGCTGAGGGCAAGAAGCCAGCGGTGCCTGAGGGATGCTAAAGAGCCAACCGATCCAGGGAAACAAATGCCAGCGAGGGACCCCACAGCAAAGAGACAGACACTGTGAGCAAGTCTACTGTTTCCATGAGGCTTGCGAGGCGTGTGCGCGGGTCTCCGCATTGGCACCATCTGCCAATTCCTCAGGAGGACAGAACAAACCAGTGAGGCATGAAGATTAGATTATGTAACGCTCGAGGATTGCTGTTTTCAAAGAGGAAACAAATGGAACGAATTGATTTGCTTGTCAAAGTCATGTCGCTGAAGGAGATCTATTCTCTCCTCTTCTAAGAGGACCTCATTAAAGAGTGGAATGGTTTCACAGATTCAGACACTGTGAGACCACAATCCACTCCATTCATAAGAGCAAGTCCACCTTCCAGAGTTGCACTGACATATCCTATTCTAGTCCCCAAGCCTGAAGAAATGTCTATCCACCTACTACCTAAAGGGTACCGATGTGGTGAGGAACGTGATTGTCAGTTGCTAACCATAAGATTCAGAACCTGCGGCCAGACGTCGTGGCTCACACCTGTAATCCCAGCACTTTGAGAGGCCAGGGTGGGTGGATCATGTGAGGTCAGAAGTTCAAGACCAGCCGGGCCAACACGGTGAAATCCCATCTCTACTAAAAATACAAAAATTACTTGGGCGTGGTGGCACAAACCTGTAATCCCAGCTACTTGGGAGGCGGAGGCACGAGAATCGCTTGAGCCTAAGAGGCAGAAGTTGCAGTGAGCCAAGATCAAGCCACCGCACTCCAGCCTGGGTGACAGAGCAAGACTCTGTCTCAAAAACAAACAAACAAACAAACAAAAAAAACCCAGAACCTGTGTGCTTTGCCTGAACTATCTTGCTTCTGGGGAAGCAGTGTCTCATTCTGAGACCAGTGGGATTGTATTTACTATTCAGAGCTCTAAACAAGTGCTCTTGATAGAGGAAGGATGTGGGTTTTTGTTTGTTTGTTTTGTTTTGTTTTTTGAGACGGAGTCTTGCTCTGTCGCCCAGGCCGGAGTACAATGGTGCAATCTCGGCTCACTGCAACCTCCCAGGTTCAAGCGATTGTCCTGCCTGAGCCCCTTGAGTAGCTGAAATTACAGGTGTGCACCACCATGCCCGGCTAATTTTTACATTTTTAGTAGAGATGGGATTTCACCATGTTGACCAGGATGGTCTTGATCTCCTGACCTTGTGATCTACCCACCTCAGCCTCCCAAAGTGCTGGGATTACAGGCATGAGCCACTGGAAATTGTTCCTAAAAAGATACGTATCAGAAAAAAAAAATATATATATATACACACACACACACACACACACACACACACACACATCAGGAAGGAAAACTCATTGAATTTCTGAGAGTCCTCTGCCATTGCTGGGCTTCTCTAAAATACCCAGCACAATAGTTTTTCTAGTATCCTCAGGAGATCTGAGGAATGAACAAATGAGAACCCTGAACCTGCTGCCATGGTTCCATCCCTCAGGTTTCACTGCCTCCCTGAGATACCAGGATTTAAATATCAAGTCTTTATCTAGCATGCAAATGAAGCCTCCTGTACCAGATAGTTTCCATTTGCCCTCCAGATCGGCTCTTCCACCCTTCTCTGAGCTGCCCTTGGCCTTAGCGGGCTGACCTACATGGACTGCAGCAGCTCGCTCTCCTGCCCTCTAGCTTCCAGGCGGTACAGCCAATGGGAGCGGCAGCGGGAGATGGGAGGGTGGGAGGACAGCATGGGTGAAGTGTTTCTTTCCCCAGTTCCCTCCTGCCGGATCGCCTTTGGTGCGTTGTGCCTTTTGATAAAAGGTCACCCCTCTTTCTCAAGGCAGCCTGCTCCACACAACTCTCTCTTTCTGGGTTCTGTCATTTCTCCCTCCCCTCAACCTTCAGCTCTAAGACTGGTAAAGGCCCTGTGGGTACTGCACCATCCCTTACAGCTTTCCCAGGCCCTGCTGAAACCTTGTAAATACTCCATTTATTAAATCTTCTTCTAATGATCTAATCTGAATGTGCCATCTGTTTCTTATACCGACCCTGCCTGACACACCTTTCCCACGTGACCCTAATTAACAATACACTATGCTATCACTTCATGTAGTTATTCTCAATGTTCACCTTTTCCCAAGGCTATAATAACAACTTAAAGATAAAACTTAATTCCTCTTTACAACATAATTGTGCAGTAGAGTTTGTATGAGCTAAATATAATTCAGAGAACAAGCATTTTCATGCCATCAAAATTCATGTTAACAACTATAAAGAGAACTGAGGCCCTTGACTTTCAGTGTACCCGAAAACATATTCTAGTATTTAAATCCATCTAACAAATATTTGAAAATCTATTACATGTCCAGCGAGGTGGTGATCTTACAGTGGGGAAAAACATAGAAGTGGCCACTGCTTTTGTGAAACTTGGTCTCATTTTCTGCAATAAATATGCTCCTAGGCCAGCTTGGTGGCTCACACCTGTCATCCTAACACTTTGTAGGGCGCTGAGGTGGGAGGATTGCTCAGACCCAGGAGTTTGAGATCAGCCCAGGCAACTTAATGAGACCTCGTCTCTACTAAAAATAAAAAATAAAAAATCAGCCAGGCATGGTAGTGCATGTGTGTGGTCCCAGCTACGACGAAAGCTGAGGGGGAGGATTGCTTGAGCCTAGAAGATTGAAGCTGCATGAGCTATGCTCATGCCACTACACTCCAGCCTGGATGAAAGAGCAAGACTCTGTCTCAAAAGGATTTTTTTTAAGTAAACAAATAAATGTGCTCCTAAAAGGTTGAATGTAAATTGCAATTCCATAAATCCAATAATATGTTGTGTGATCATGGGGAGCATACTATCTGAATAATAACTTATAAAATAATTACCTTTAATCTTTTGAACCAAATTTTTCATCCACCCAGGTACTTCAAATGAAATTTATCTTTAGTCTGTAGGGAGGATTGATCTCCTTCGATGCTCCTGGAATGGTGGAAATTGTGGAATGGAATTTAGAGGAAAGATAAGGGAATTACCATTTATAGACCACATATAGAATGCTAGCCAATTTGCATCTTTTAGCATATTTAACCCTGAGAAGAAACACATAGTCCATCATTCCCTTATTTTCTATTTCTGAAAATAAAATTTAAAAAATTAATATGGCAGGTTTAGAATTCAAAATCCATTTTTTCCAAATAAGAAAGCAAAGCAAAATGATTCAGTGCAGGACTCTAAAGATTACATTATCCCCCAGCTTCAGTGGCTTCCTGCTGCTTTTAGGATCAAGTCCAAAATTCTTCCCAGGGCCACTGTTCCCACGCTCATCAGTTCTCCAGACCGTCCAGGCTCATGCCCCCTTGAAAGCTTTTGCCCTCCTCAATGTCCCTGGTCCCTCTGCAACCTCTTCCTCTCCCAGCTCCCCCAGATTAACTCAGATGCATCCCTTCAGTTTCCACTCAGTTTCCACTTCCCAGGGAAAGCCTGTCTCCCCAGCTGGGCCCATGTCACCGTATCTTTAGTGCTGAACACCAGGGAAGGGCTCATTTGTTTCCTGGGTGAACAGATGAGGAAGGGCTGCCCAGAAGGGTTGCCCTGCCTCAGGCCAGCCATTTCCCTGGTTGGGTTTCCTTTGGTCCCAGAGGCCTGGCAAAGCCTCCCTCATGAAAAAGGTGGCTGGGATTACACTCCTGAAATCCCAACACTTTGGGCAGCCAAGGTAGGCAGGTCGCTTGAGGCCAGGAGTTCCAGACTAGCCTGGGCAACAAAGTAAAACCCCCTCTCTACAAAAAAATTTTAAAAATAGCTTGGGTAGCAGTGCGAGGTGGCCCACTCCTGTAATCTCAGCACTTTGGGAGGCTGAGGCAGGAGGATTGCCCGAGCTCAGGAGTTCCTGAGACCAGCCTGGGCAACATGGAGAAACCCTGTCTCTACTAAAATACAAAAAATTAGCTAGGCATGGCGGCAGCCGCCTGTAATCCCAGCTACTTGGAAGGCTGAGGCAGGAGAATCGCTGGAACCCAGGAGTCGGAGGTTGCAGTGGGCCGGGATCGCGTCACTGTACTCCCGCCTGGAAGACAGAACCAAACTCGGTCTCAAAATAAAAAACCTTGTAAAAAAGCTTGGGTGACTGTGCAAGCCCGTGGTCCCAGCTACTCAGGAGGCTGAAGCGGGAGGATCGCCTAACCTGGGGAGGTGGAGGTTGCAGTGAGCTGTGATCGCGCCACTGCACTCCAACCTGGGCAACAGAGCTAGACACTGTCTCAAATCAGAAAGCGAAGAAAGGTCAAAAGAGCCCTCATTTGAGGTTCTAGAAGGTCTTTGCCTTCTCTCTTACCCTCTCAAGTGCACACTCAGGTGTTCCAGGACCTGGAGCTCCAGCCGAGGTGGGAACAAAGCCGTCCCAAGGATCCCGCACTGACGACAGAAAGTTCTTGAGGCCTCGCACCTGAGAACTTGGTTGGCACGAGGCCACGTGACGCGAGGTGGCTGCGCATGCGCAGGACGATTAGTCAGCAGCTTCGCCAGCCCCGCCCTGAAGCTGCGAGGGCAGGAGCTGGTGCAGCAGCTGAGCTGGGGGATTCCAGAGATCACCTGAAAGGTCAGGGTGGGGTTGGAGTGTATTGAGCACCACCCGGTGGCAGGCATTGAACTGCATTCCCTCACTGTAAACTCTCACAGGCTCTGTGTAAGAGGGACACACGCACGTTGGTGTGTCCATTTTACAGATAGGAAAACTGAGGCCCTGTTGTCTTTTTTTTTTTTTTGAGACAGCTTTGCTCTTGTGGCCCAGGCTGGAGTGCAATGGCGCAACCTCAGCTCTCTGCAACCTCCGCCTCCCAGGTTCAAGCAATTCTCCTGCCTCAGCCTCCCAAGTAGCTGGAACTATAAGAGTGCACCACCACGCCCAGCTAATTTTTTGTATTTTTAATAGAGATGGGGTTTCACCATGTTGGCCAGTCTGCTCTCAAACTCCTGACCTCAGGTGATCCGCCCACCTTAGCCTCCCAAAGTGCTGGGATTACATGCATGCGCCACCGGGCCCAGCCCCTGTTGTCTTTAGAACTTGTCCAAGTCCACAAGTGCAGTACTGGGATTTGAACCCAAGTTGCTCAGGCTCCCAAAGGCCCAGGCTCTTTTAGATACCCCCATATTCAAAAGTAAAGTTTGTTTTCCCAAAGTATAGTCACCACTGGAGGGAATTCCTTCTTTTCTTTCCTGGTAACCCCAAACCAGCTGCCTGCATGGAGTTACCTCCTGGCTATGTGACCTTGGGCAAGTCATGTCACCACTGAGCCTGAACTTCATCATCTATAAAATGATGACACAGCCGGGCACTGTGGCATACGCCTGTAGTCCCAGCTACTTGGGAGGCTGAGGTGGGAGGATCTCTTGAGCCCAGGAGTTTAAGACTGCAGTGAGCTATGATCACACCTCAGCACTCCAGCCTGGGCAACAGAGTGAGGCCCCACCTCTTTAAAAAAAAAAAATTGATGACAATATTGCCTGCCTCTCATGACTTACCTAACTCTTCCTACAAAAATCTAGTGATTCCTACCAGATGCTAGGTACTATGCTAGTCCCAGGGAGTATACCATAAAAAGAAGAGAAAACAAGAGATCATCTAGCAATTAAGCAAGATAGCATGTGAACATGCTAATAAACTCCAAAGCCCTGTCAGGGATTGTTCTAGAAACCTGGGCAAGGTTGGACCCATTTCTCATTAAGAACAGATGAGATCTAAAAATGGGCTTGGCATCCCCACTGAAGCCTGTGTTTCTCCTGCAGGCGTCCCTCGCTGGAAGGTGGGCAGTTCTGCTGTGGGTTTCTCACAGCTGGCTCCTGAGGAAGTGGAAACAGCCTGCTACAGGTGTGGGATTCACAGCCAGCAGCCTCTTCCCTTCATCTCCAGAGCAGTGGGCGTTCCCATTGATTCATTAGAGAAGGGTCTGCGGTGCCCTTGGAGATTTCAACTCTTTGCTCCGCTGCAAACAAAAAGAAACAGAAAGACAGAATTTGGGCCTATGCTGACATTTTGCTGGAATGTCCCATCTCGCCCAGGTTCCCAAACACATATAGAAGGTTATTCACACAAATGCATCTAGTCAGAGCCCCTTACTCAGGTACAAGAGTGCCGGCATGTGCCTGGCTCAAAGTCTAGCCTAGGAGAAAAATATCAAGCCAGGCCTTGGCCAATTCTCATTTTAGCAGATATTCTGGGGAGAAAAAACAAAACAAAAACCCTGGAGTGCCAGGATGCAGGGACAGAGCCTTAGACTGGCTAAACTGGAAGGCCAGTGAGTTCAACAGACTGAGGCCCAGAGAGGTGAAGTTCGCTACCCAGGGCCACACAGCAAGTCCATGAAAATCCCAGGAATTCATGGAGCCAACACACGTGTTTTTGAGTGCCAGTTATGTGCCAGGCACTGTTCTAGCTCCTACAGAGAAAGCAGAGTCAAAACAGACAAAAACTCCTGCCCTCTTAGAGCTGGTGCTCTGGTAGAAGGAGCCAGACAATAAAAAGGTGAATTAGTAAGATGCGTCGTACGCTGGATGACAATAAATTCGATGGAGCAGAACGCAGCTGGGAAAGGGAACAAGGCGTGTATACTGCATGGGTGTGATTTTAAGTAGGATGGTCGGGAACGCCTCCCTGAGAAGTTGTCATTTGAGCAAAGACCTGAAGGAGGTGAGGGATGAAAACATGCCAGTATCAGGGGGAAGAGTGTCCCAGGAGAAGGAAGCAGAGCAGAGCCACAGGCAGGAGTGGACCCAGTGCGTTCCCAGGGGCAGCAAGGAGACTGCTGGAGTGAAGGGGATGAGCAGGAAGACAGGATGAAGAAAGCAGGGGCCAGGCATGGTGGCTCACGTCTGTTATCCCAGCACTTTGGGAGGCTAAAGTGGGCAGATCACCTGAGGTCAAGAGTTTGAGACCAGCCTGGCCAACATGGCAAAAACCGTCTCTACTAAAAACACAAAAATTAGGTGGGTGTGGTGGCGTGCACCTGTAATACCAGCTTCTCAGGAGGCTGAGACAGGAGAATTGCTCAAACTCGGAAGTGGAGGTGCAGTGAGTTGAAGTCGCGCCATTGCACTCCAGCCTGGGTGACAGAGTGAGACAGCGTCTCATCCAAAAAAAAAAAAAAAGAAGCAGCAGCAAGAGGAACCACGTCACATAGGAGCCTCGTAGGTCACTGTATGAGCTCTGAGTTTTTTTTCTGGAGACAGAGTTTTGCTCTTGTTGCCCAGGCTGGAGTGCAGTGGTGCTATCTCAGCTCTCCACAACCTCCACCTCCTGGGTTCAAGCAATTCTCCTGCTTCAGCCTCCTGAGTAGCTGGGATTACAGGCATACACCACCATATCTGGCTAATTTTTTGTATTTTTAGTAGAGACAGGATTTCACCATGTTGGTGAGGCTGGTCTCAAACTCCCAACCTCAGGTGATCCGCCCACCTTGACCTCCCAAAGCACTGGGATTATGGGAACAAGCCACCGCGCCCAGCCAGAGCTTTGGCTTTTATTCCAAATGAGATTGGGAAGCATTGAAGAGTTTGGGGCAGAGACATGACATGATCTGACCAAATAAAAAGCCTGAAACTACTTCTATGCATTCATTCATTCATTCATTCATTCATTCATTCATTCATTCCTCTTAGGTGCCAGGCACTCTGCTGATGACAAGCTGGATGTCCCCAGAATGACCCACAGGGCCCTTGATGTGCATTTTGCACTGACTGTAGAGTCCACAGCAAAGAGAAAGGAGGGTCAGCCACTGCCTTCACTTTGGCCACCAGACACCCTCCACCCTGATGCCTGCTCCTTCCTCCCCTCGCCCTGCAGCCCAGGAAGAAGGGCCCCAGATGGCTGCAGGGCTCTGTGCTTAGGAGGCTGCTAGAACCTGCAGGTTATAAACAGCATCTCCTGCCGCAGGGAATCAAGCTGCTCTGTCCAAATGAGTCAGAGGCACAGAGCCACAGCCCCCCAAACTGCAGCATCCCTCCCGCACCGCACCCTGAATTCCCTCTTTGTCCTCTTAACCAAGGCCAGGCCTCTGCTTCTCTTTTCACCATGACCCTTTCTGACCTCTTTACTCCCCACTTATCCCAGGCTCTACCTCCTGGAGCACCGGAAAGCCCCACTACTTCCTTGGTTCTAAGACACAGGATTGGATTATATATATATATATATATATATATATATATATATATATATATATATATTTCAAGATGGAGTCTCGCTCTGTTGTCCAGGTTGGAGGGCAGTGTCGTGATCTCAGCTCACTGCAGCCTCTGCCTCCCAAGTTCAAGTGATTCTCCTGCCTCAGTCTCCCAAGTAGCTGCGACTACAGGGGATGCCACCACACCTGGCTAATTTTTTTATTTTTGGTGGAGACGGGGTTTCGCCATGTTGGCCAGGCTGGTCTCGAACTCCTGACCTCAAGTGATCCGTCCACCTTGGCTTCCCAAAGTGCTGGGATTACAGGTGTGAGCTACATGCCTGGCTTTTTGTTTGAGACAAAAGTCTCACTCCATCACCCAGGCTGGAATGCAATGGCACAATCATAACTCACTGCAGCCTCAAACTCCTGGGCTCAAGTAGCTGAGACTACAGGCACACACAAGCCATGGTTGGCTAATTTTTAAAAATTTTTTGTAGAAACAGGGTCTCAACTCCCTGCCCTTGAGCAATCCTCCCACCTAGACCTCTCTCAAAGTGCTGGGATTACAAGTGTGAGCCACTGTGCCTGGCCTAATACAGGATTTGTACTCTTCATAAGCAAGGAAACTTCACCAGCCCCGTCTTACACAGGAAGACACTGAGACACCAGGGAGCCGCTTGATTTGTCCAATGTTATGCCTTAGACATCCCCTGTGAGGACCTGATGTCACCAGGAAGACATGGTCACATCACCGGGTGCCCCGGAGATCTATGCAGCCACTTGGCCCAACCCAACCCTGACTCACCGCTGTGTGTGAAGGTAAAAAAGGAAAGGTTCAAGGAGCGGCAAGACAAGGAAGGCAGAGGTGCACAGTACCGCTTCCTCCGGCCATCCCTTCCAGCTCCTAAGGTGAGAGGCCCTCTGCCCCTCCCCAAAACCTAGACTAGCTCTCCCTTGGGTGGCACTGGGTAAAACTCTATGTAATAGTCCCCACAAGATCTGTCTGTGGAAAGAGACACTTTGCTTAAGGGCGAGGGTGATGTAACATTTGACTCCACTGACCCACTACCAGGGTTGTGCCTGATCATCCCCCAAAATTCCAAGGTTCCATAGTGATCCCCTTCAATCCTCTCCTCCATCATGCTGGAAGCCTTACAAAATAGTAAAAAGGGCATGCATTTAGAGATCAGATGAATTAGGCTTCCTCCCGAATTCTGTCATTTCCTAGCTGTTGTGACCTTGGGCAAGTCGCTTCACCTCTCTGAGTTTCATTCACTTATCCATTCGTCTAGCAAATACATGTTAAGCAACACCTACTATGCGCCAGGCACTGCTCTAGGTCCTGGCCTTACCGCAGTGAAGGAGAGAGACAAAGTCTCTGGGCTTATTTGTTCGTTTTTTGAGGCAGCGTCTTGCTCTGTCACCCAGGCTGGAGTACAGTGGTGTGATCACAGCTCACTGCAGCCTCGACCTCCTGGGCTCAGGCGATCCTCCTGCCTCAGCCTCCTGAGGAGCTGGGACTACAGGCATGAGCTGCCACATCCAGCCAAAGTCTCTGCTTTTACTGGACTTTCATTTTGGTGGAGCAAGTGAGGAGACATAAAAAAGCAGGCAAACAGTTTGGAAGCGATGTCTTCATGAAGAAAGTGAAACAAGGGAATGTAATCCTGACTGGCGTGGGTGTGGGTTCTCTTTTCCGTAAGGTGGTCAGGAAGGAAGTGACATTTATTCTGAGACCTCAATGATGACAAAGAGCTGGCTGTGAGACCTAGGGGGTACACAGACCTTGAGGAAGGGATGAGTTTGGTGTGTGGAGCCTCCGTAGTGGGAGCAGAGTGAGCCAGGGGGAGAGAGGGAGGAGATGAGGTCAGAGAGGTAGGCAGGTGCGAGATCACAGAGCTTCAAGTGACGAGCATCTTGACCGCATTTGGTGAGATGATGCGGTAATCTGGCATAAAACTTGGCATACAGTAAGTGCTCAATATGCAGGAACTATTCTGTAATGCGCAGTAACTATTATGATGACAAGCCTTCCCTGTCCTCCTCCTCTTCCTCCCAGGGACACTCACGCTCCTCCCCGTTCCCCCCCACCCCTCTCTGCACCACCTTCTCTCCCTGGTCCAAGGAAAAGAATCTCTGCAGAGAGAAGGAAGCATCCCCCACTCTCCCTCCTCCCCCTCCCCTTCCTCCTGCAAACCCTCCCACCGCAGCCCAGTGATTTTCCTGCCTCTCGCAAGGCGATTTTATTAAACATCTCGAAAAAATATTCTCTCACTCCCTCTCTCTTTATTTATAAAAATCAACTTAACACCCTGCTCCTTTGTTCTATTTGGAAACTGGAACAGCCTGGTTTATATTTAGCTGAAATCCTGCTCCTTTCCCCACAGATTCCGGCACAGCCCAATGAACTAGAGGGGCTAAGGAAGGAGGAGGGGGAGAGGGGGCTGAAGAAGGAAAGGGGGATTCGAAGGACAGGGCGAAAGGCACTGTCCCCCAGAGTCTGAAGGACCTGGCAGGGGAGGCGGAGAAAAGTCTTTCCCAAGACATCAAGGTGTTCCGAGCCCAGGCGCTGCTGCATTGACCATCATTATATCACTCTCTATACCCCTCCGAATGTCCCTAGCAAAAGAGAAACAGGGGATTGAGAATACGAAGTAGAAAGACTCAAGCCCTCATAAAACCTTAATGGTTTTAAACCAGGCTTGGAGGGGCAGTATAAGGCAGTCATTAGGACTGTGGGTCTGGGTTCAAATACAAGCTCTCTCTGCCCCTCACTGGCTGGATGACCCTGAGAGGTTAACATGCTCACTGTGCTGTGTGGCACAGGAAGGTGCTTGATCAACGGTGGCTGTTGTTAATAATCACTGTAGGCTGAAGGAAACTGCTCAACTCCTCTAGCTCCAAGGTTCTACTCAAAACTGCTTCCTCCATGAAGCCTTCTCAGATTAAACTCATCTATTCAACTAACAGCACTGGGCTAGACACTGGGGCTATGGAGATGAATGAGCAGGATCTCACAGGACCCTGTGTGATCCGAGATCGACATACATAATTGCCACAGAGAGTACTAAGTTCCAGAGGAGACTTAGGCTCCATGTGGGCAAAACCAGTTCTCTGTTGTTCTCCACTCCGTGTGCAGAACTAAACAAAGCATCTGACACATAGGGAGACAGCACAGAACAATGGTTAGGAATATATCTAGGGCTAGGCTGGGCACAGTTGTAATGCCTGTAATCTCATGCCTGTAATCCCAGCCAGCACTTTGGGAAGCCGAGGGGGGCAGATCACCTGAGGTCAGGAGTTCAAGACCAGCCTGACCAACATGGAGAAATCCCATCTCTACTAAAAATACAAAATTAGCCAGGTGTGGTACCACATGCCTGTGATCCCAGCTACTCAGGAGGCTGAGGCAGGAGGATCACTTGAACCTGGGAGGCGGAGGTTGTGGTGAGCCAAGATCTGACCACTGCACTCCAGCCTGGGCAACAAGAGAGAAACTTCATCTAAAAAACAAAAGAATAGGGCTGAGCGAGGGGGCTCACGCCTGTAATCCCAATGCTTTGGGAGGCTGAGGCAAGAGGATCATTTTAGCCCAGGAGTTCAAGACCAGCCTAGGCAACATAGTGAGACACCATCTCTATGAGAAATTTAAAACAAATTAGCTGGGCATGGTGGCATTTGCTTGTAGTCCCAGCTAATCAGGACGCTGAGGCAGGAGATCCACTTGAGACCAGGAAGTCAAGGCTGAAGTGAACCGTGTCCATGCCACTGCACTCTAGCCTGATGTATTAAATCTGTTCTTGCATTGCTATAAAGATACAACCTGAGACTGAGTAATTTATAAAGAAAAGAGATTTAATTGACTCACAGTTCCAGTATGGCTGGAGAGGCCTCAGGAAACTTACAATCATGGCAGAAGGTGAGGTGGAAGCAAGGCATGTCTTACATGGTGGCAGGCTGGAGAGGGCAAGAAGAGGGAAGCACCAGACACTTATTAAACAACCAGATCTCCGCCAGGTGTGGTGGCTCATGCCTGTAATCATAGCACTTTGGGAGGCTGAGGCGGGCAGATCATGAGGTCAAGAGATTGAGACCATTCTGGCCAACATGGTGAAACTCGGTCTCTACTGAAAATACCAAAATTAGCTGGGTGAGGTGGTGCATGCCTGTAATCCCAGCTACTTGGGAGGCTGAGGCAGAAGTATTGCTTGAAGCCGGGAGGCAGAGGCTGCAGTGAGCCGAGATCGCACCACTGCACTCCAGCCTGGTGACAGAGTGAGACTCTGTCTCAAAACAAAGAAAAAAAGAATACATTTGGGTTAGCTGAGTAAACATAGGCACAGAAAAAAAAAAAAAGAATATATAATCTGAGTTCACTTCGTGCTCATGATAACTGATGAGAAAAAACACTTGATAAAATTAACACCTATTCATGGGTTAAAAACAAAAACTCTGACCATGTAGAGTTTAGAATGGAAGGAAACTCCCTCAACTTATTAAAGGCTGCTTCAAAATATTAATAGTTTGTTTGCATTTTCATATGCAATTTAGAATCTATTTGATGATTCCTACAAAAAGAAAAGCCTATTGGTATTTTTTTTTATTTTAGAGATGGTGGGATCTCACTGTACTGCCCAGGCTGGTGTTGAACCCCCGGGCTAAAGTGATCCTCCCACCCCAGGCTCCTTTAAGTGCTGGGATTATAGGCGTGAGCCCCTGAACCTGGTCGTATCCCTATGTATTTTACATTTTTTGATACTACCATAAATGTTTCTATACATTTAATTTCCCAGTTGTTCAAGCTAGTGTAGAGAAACATTTTTGTATATCGACCTTGTATCTTCTGACCTTGCTAAATAAAATTATTGGTTCTGATAGTTTTGTTGTATTGTAAATTCCTTAGCATTTTCTACATGCATAATCATGTCATTTGCAAATAAAGACAATTTCACTTTGCCTTTTCCCACTCTGTTTCTTGCCTCATTGTCCTGGCTAGGACCTCCAGCACAATGTTATTAATATATAGAAGTAGTGAGAGCAGATATTCTTGCCTTGTTCCCAACCTTAGGGAGAAAGTGTTTAAGTAAGTAGACTTTCACCATTCAATATGTTAGCTGTAGGTATTATAAAGTGGCCAAAACAATTTTGAAAAACAGAACAAAGTTGGAGCGACTTGATTTCAAGGAGAATTGTAAATCTGCATTAATCAAGACAGTGTGGGAAGTAGCATAATGATGCTGTATATCATGCAACAGAATAGAGAGCTCAAAAATAGATCCACATATATACAATCAATTAATTTTTGACAAAGGTGCTAGAGTGATTCAATGAGGAAGGGAAGCTGGGACTGAAACATATCTTTATGGAAGGAACAAATGAATCATGACCCCTACCTCACATCATAAACAAAAAGTTAACTTAAAATGAATCAGAGACCTAAATGGAAAAACTAAATCTACAAAACTTCTAGAAGGCCAGGCTCAGCGGCTTGTGCCTGCAATCTCAATGCTTTGGGAGGCTGAGGCAGGAGGAGCACTTGAGCCCAAGAGTTCAAGACCAGCTTGGGCAACATAGTGAAACCCTGTCTCTACAAAAAAAAAAAAATTAATTAGCCATTTGTGATGGTGTGCACCTGTAGTCCCAGCTACTTTGGAGACTGAAGTGGGAGGATTGCTTGAGCCCAGGAGTTCAAGACTGCAGCCATCATGAGCAGCTTCTTGGGCACAGGTGCTGAGACAATGCTAGTGCCCCTGGGTGCGGGAATGGGGTGCACCAGCACAGAGCCACAGCAACCTGTCACCTTGCAAGGGAGGACAGTGTGGGGCTTGCTGATCTTTTTCCCCCAGTAGCCTCTGTGCACGGGGACAATGGAGAGCTTGGCCAGGATGATGTCCCCACGGATGGCAGTGGCCACCTCCTTGGAACACTTAACACCCAGACCGACGTGGCCATTGTAGTCCCCAATGGCAACAAATGCCTTGAACCTGGTGCACTGGCCACCTGGGTCTGCTTCTGCACCGGCATAATCTTCAAAACCTCGTCCTTGAGAGATGCCCCCAGGAAAAAGTCAATGATCTCAGATTCCTTGATGGGCAGGAAGAAGAGGTAGATCTCCTCCAGGGACTTTATCTTCATGTCCTTGACCAGGCGGCCCCGCTTGGTGACAGGCATCCACTCTTTATCCTTAGCCTTGCCTCCATGAGCTCTGTGGCCTCTGCCCTCCCGGCCCCTGACTGCAGGTCGAAACCTCCGCAGAAGCTGATTCCCCATCCAAGGGCCGCTCCCCGCCCCACCTCCCCCGCTGCACCCGCGTCATCTGCCATTTGGTGTTTTATCCGAGAAGAAGCTGAAGGGGAGTTTATTAAGAAGTATCGACTCACACGATCACAAGGTGAAGTCCCACAATAGGCTGTCTGCAAGCCTAGGAGCAACGAAGCCAATCTGAAACCCAAAACCTCAAAAGTAGGGAAGCCCACAGTGCAGCTTTGTCTCTGGCCGAAGAGCCCCTGGCAAATCACTGGGGTAAATCCAAGAGTCCAAAAGCTGAAAACTTGGAGTCCAATGTTCGAGGGCAGGAAGCATCCAGTACAGGAGAAAGATGAAAGCCAGAAGGCTCAGCAAGTGGGCTCCTTCCACCTTCTTCTGCCTGCTTTATCCTAGCCGCACTGGCAGCTGATTAGATGGTGCCCTCCCAGATTGAGGGTGGGTCTGCCTCTCCCAGTCCACTGACTCAAATGTCAATCTCCTTTGGCAACAACCTCAGAGACACACCCAGGAACAAGACTTTGCATCCTTCAATCCAGTCAAGTTGACATTCAGTATTAACCAACACAAGTCTACCCCTTGTCAACTTGAACCCATACACATCTGCTGAAATCATACATAATCTTCAAATAAAGACAATAAGTCATTATTACACCCAAAATAATATGCCTATCCTTTGTGTAACCAGAAGCATGTTAATCCTTAATCTAAATGCTATTACATAAAGCTAACAACACTTAAATGTGATATGAAGTCAATAAATCTTCTGTCACGTGATAAAGGAAAAAGTAAGGAAATCACATGAAGACATTTTCTTAGTACAAGTGTATACATGCACAAACATATTCTTAACAAATAAGGAGGAAATATTCATGACAATTACAGTCCTTGTTTTGGCAACTAGTCATGTGGCTGTAGCTAGTATTACGACTACGTTCTTCTACCACCCATACTGCGTTCCCTCTGCCTTCAGCAAGCACTTCCGTGGGTTGTGGGTTTTTTTTACCTAGTGGAGTGACCCAAACCTTCATTCCTGTAGGGTCTGGGCCATTTGCAGTCCTGCCTGGATTGGGTTGTGGTAGCTTCCCATTGACCTTAATCACAGGGCATGGTAATACCAAGAGACGCCCTCATGGATCTCCTGTATTTACACTTACTCTTCCTTACCTCCATTGTGGAGTAGGAGACTGATTTCATCTTCATCATCTGGGTCAGTCGCCCCAGCCAACACTGTAACTCTCTGTTTAGCCTGTTGACTTAAAGGTAGGAGGAGCTGAAAGTGTCCAGGGGGCAATCTTAACTTCCAGTTTAGTGGAATCATTGTTGTGCCTCCTGATGGCAGCGTTCCTCCCTCTGGAACTAAGACCTCTAGGCCAGTAGAGTGCAATGTTGCAGGAACCAGAAGCAAAAATTTTGCTAGTGGGTGATGGTGAGTGGTGCCACTTCCACTTCCACCCCTTGGTTCCTGGACCCATGAGTCCTGGCTATGGGGAAACAGTGCCATATATTGGACACTGATTCAGAGCATACACGGCCTTCTGGAGAACTTCATCCGACCCCTGCAAAGTATTGTCACCTAGTTGGCATTGTAATTGTGACTTTGACAGGCCATTCCATCATTCTATCAATCCAGATGCTTTGGGATGATGGGGAGCATGGTAAGACCAGTGAATTCCATGAGCACGAGCCCACTGCCACACTTTAGCTGTAAAGTGAGTGCCTTGGTCTGGTCATAGGCAATGCTGTGTGGAATACCATGATGGTGGATAAGGCATTCTGTGAGTCCACGGATGGTTGTTTTGGAAGAAGCATTGCATGCAGGATAGGTAAAACCATATCTGGAGTTAAGTGTCTATTCCTGTGAGGACAAACCATTCCCCTTTCCATGATAGAAGAGGTCCAATATACTCAGCCCGCCATCAAGTAGCTGGCTGATCACCCTGAGGAATGGTGCCATATCAAGAGTTCCGCATTGGTCTCTGTTGCTGGCACATTGGGCACTCAGCAGTAGCTGTAGCCAGGTCAGCCTTGGCTAGTGGAAGTCCACATTGCTGAACCCATGTGTAACCTCCATCCCTGCCACCATGGCCACTTTGTTCATGGGTCCATTGGGCGATGACAGGGGTGGCTGGGAAAGAGGCTGTGTGGTGTCTACAAAATGAGTCATCCTATCTACCTGATTATTAAAATCCTACTCTGCTGAGGTCACCCTTTGGTGAGCATTCACATGGATACAAATATCTTCACAGTTTTGACCACTCAGAGGGTTCCATCCATATACCTCTTCTCCAAATTTTTTGTCACCAATTTTCCAGCCGTGCATCTTCCAAGTCCCTGGCCATCCAGCCAAACCACTGGCTGCAGCCTGTTAATCAGTACATAATCACACATCTGGCCACTTCTCCTACCACGCAAAGTACACAGTCAGGTATAGTATGTGAAGTTCTGTCCACTGGGAAGATTTCCCTTCACCACTGTCCTTCAGGGATGTCCTTGAAAGGGGCTGTGGTGCTGCAGCTGTCCACTTTCGGGTGGTGCCCACATATCTTGCAGAACCATCTGTAAATCAGGCCCTAGTCTCCTCTTCCTCTGTCAACTGATCAGAGGAAACTCTTCATGAGGCCATCAGTGCAGGCAACGGGAGAGTAGGCAGAGTGGCAGGAGTGGAGGCCACAGGCATTTGAGCCACTTCTTCATGTAAATTACTTGTGCCTTCAGGACCTGCTCAGCCCCATCATATATATACCACTTTCATTTGATGATGGAATGCTGCTGTGCATGCCCAACTTAATGACTAGATAAGTCAGAAAGCACCCAGTTCACGGCAGGCAGTTCAGGTTGCATGGTGACTTGATGACCCATCATCAATGTTCAGTTTCTACTAAAGCCCAGTAATAGGCCAAGAGCTGTCTCTCAAAAGAAGGGTAGTTATCTGCAGAACATATCAGGGCCTTGCTCCCACCTCCACTGTGATTTCCCTATGGGGGCTGCCAAAGGCTCCAGACAGCATCCCTACCTGCCCCTGAAACCTCAGGCACCATTGGATCTGCTGGGTCATACGGCCCAAGTGGCAGAGCAGCTTGCACAGCAGCCTGGACCTGTTGCAGAGCCTTATCCTGTTCTGGACCCCACTCAAAACTGGCAGCCTTCCGGGTCACTCAATAAATGGGCCAGAATAACATGCCCAAATGAGGAATGTGTTGCCTCCAAAATCCAAATAGGCCCACTAGGCATTGTTCTTGGTCGCAGGAGAGGCCAAATGCAGCAGCTTATCCTTCACCTTAGAAGGAATATCTCGACAGGCCTCACACCACTGGACCTCTAGATATTTTACCAAGGTAGAAGCTTCCTGAATTTTAGTCAGATTTATTTCCCATCCCTTGGCAGGCAAACGTCTCACCAATAAGATGAGGGCATTTGCTATGTCTCACTCACTGGACCCAATCAGCATAAAGTCATCACGTAATGGACCAGTGTGATATCTTGTGGAAGGGAAAAATGATCAAGATCTCTGAGAACAAGATTATGATACAAAGCCAGGGCGGTGATATACCCCTGAGGTAGGACAGTGAAGGTATACTGCTGGCCTTGCCAGCTGAAGGCAAGTTGCTTCAGGTAAGCCTTACAGACAGGTATGGAGAAAAATGCATTTGCCAAATCAATGGCTCCATACCAAGTACCAGGAGGTGTTAATTTGTTCAAGCAATGAAACCACATCTGGTACAGCAGCTGCAATAGGAGTCACCACTAGGTTACGCTTAGGATAATCCACTGTCATTCTACAAGATCCATCTGTCTTCTGCGCAGGCCAAATGGGAGAGTTGAACGGGGATGTGGTGGGAATCATCACCCTTGCATCTTTCGAGCCCTTGATGGTGCCACTAATCTCTGCAGTCCCTCCAGCGATGTGGTGTTGTTTTTGAGTTACGATTTTTCTAGGTAGAGGCAGTGCAAATGGCTTCCATTTGGCCTTTCCCACCATAGTAGCCCTTACCCTACCAGTCAGGGAGCTAATGTGGGGTTCTGCCAGCTGCTAAGTATGTCTATGCCAATCATGTAATCTGGCACTGGGGAAATAACCATAGGATGAGTTCAGGGACCCAATGGAACCACTGAAAGTCAGACCTGAGCTAAAACTTCATTACTTACCTGACCTCCATAAGCCCCTACTTTAACTGAAGGACCACAATGACATTTTGGATCTCCTGGAATCAACATCAGCTCAGAACTAGTGTCCAGTAGTCCCCCAAAAGTCTGATCATTCCCCTTTCCCCAATGCACAGTTACCCTGGTAAAAAGAGGTCTGTCTGGGAACAGATGGAAGAAAGATTAACAGTATAAATTGTGGGTATAGGAGGCCTCAAGGGGACTTGGCATCCCTCAAGGGAGGGCCAAACCCCACAATCAATATAGTGGGGTTCTTCCTCAAGGGGACTTGGCCTCCCCTTCATTCAAGGGGTTCTGGGTCTATAAACTGGTTCAAGTCTGGAAATTGATTGAGGGGCCGTGATTCTCTGTTTTTACAATTCAAATTAGTCTTTTGTCCACTTGACCTTGGAGTTTTCTGCTTATCCAAATTAAGTTAGAATACAGTAGGCTTCCTATCAATTTCCCTTCTAGGAACACTGATGAATTAGCCAATGCCAGAGCTCTACACAAATCAGACTATTCTGATTGCTGCTTTGCCTCTGCCGTCCATTATGGTAACTATACCCACCTAGCTTCTGACAGTTGAGTGCTGCCACTTGGCCCCTGACACCTCAGGATCCAATTATTCCTATTGCGTTTAAATTTTCTAATTGAGTGACTGCAGTTCCCACTGTAAGATCTGGCATACAGAGAAAAGCAATCACAGAGCCTTCAGGGATTCAGGTGCTCCCCTCTCAAATCTATTTCACAAAGTACTGTGAAGGGTGAAGGGTATGTCTTCTGGACCCTCCAGCAGGGATAAGTTGGTCTAAAGTGACTAATCCACCCCACCATCCCAGTCTCCCTAAGCCTTTGGATCCCTTCCTCCACATTAAACCAAGGGAGATCAGGCATTTCCAGACCACTCACAGTGGGCCATCTTTTGATCCATATTTCAGCTAACAAGCAAATCAACAGAACATTTTTTAACTCCCCAAGCTGCAACATTAAATGCAGGATCCCTGCTTAGTGGGT